CTGGAGCCTGAAAACTCGACCATCCCACTATGGCCTTCGGCCCATCCCGCCTACGTACCTGGGTTGCGGGTCTGAGGCCTCTTGGATGTTCGCGGAGATCTCGTCGAGGCCTCTCGGGGGCCTCTTGGAGGCAGGTTTGAGGACTCTGGGGGGCTGTTTGGGGGCCTCTTGGAGCCTCTTTGGGCCTCTTGGGTGCCTCTTGAGGTAACGTGTGGGCCTCTTAGGGGCCTCGGGCCCTCTTTTGCCGTCTTGGTGCCGCCCTCTTGGGGGCCTCTGGGTTCGTCTTGGGGCGGTCTTGGAAGCCTCTTGGGACGCCTGGGAGCGTCGGAAGCTCGAAAAGAGGAGAACCATAAACAAGCATTTAAACATCTGAAGACTAGAAATAAAGTTTGCCTCTCGGGAACCTCTTGGGAATGCTCTTGGGGCTCTCTTGAGGCGTCTCCAAGGCTTCATTGGCCGTTTTGGGGCCATCTTGGACGTCTTGGACCGATCGTGCAGCGATCCGAGGCACCCTTGGACCGTCTGGGCGGCCTCTTGGGGCCCGTTTGGCCCGTCTTGGCGCCTTCTTGGCCTCGGAAACGTCATGCGAGAACACTCGGGTGAGCTCAGAGGGCATGCGGAAACCCTCAGGAGGTTTGAGAGTTTAGGCCTTGAATGAGACCGAGGCTCAGAGCTTGAAAACTGAGGCTCAGGGGTTGAGCAGGGGACCTGGGGACCCTCCACTTCGCGCCACAGGAACACGGCTGCGGATTTGACCCTTGAATTCTATATTTGATCACGATCATGGGTGACCCTGTCGCCCCGAGGAGGAGGAGGAGGAGACGTAGGGAGGGATGGCATGGGAGTTCCTTTGTACTCCCAACCATTTTGCGTTGGGTTATCACTTTGACTAGTGTTCTGCTGTCTCCTGGTTCTTCCTCCCGCCTCCCTCCTGCTTATGGCTCCTTCATCCTCCCTATCTGCCTTCCACCCTGCTTCCTACCTCGCCGTCCCTGCAGGTGCCGCCGCCGCTTTCGTGGGCATCTTCTGGGGGGGGGGTCGGCGTAGTGAGGGCCTACGCGGACCTGAAAGAGACCGACCCAGCCGTCCGTGGGAGCTTCCGAAATTGTCGCCATGTTCGTGGGTTGGGTATATATTGCAACGGGGCCCTACCCAGATCTGAATGAGAGACCTCGCCGTCCCTGCGAAGTGCGAAAGCGTCCTCACGTATTGTTCGCTCCTTGCAGGGTCCAGCGAGGTGCGTGCCTACGCGGACCTGACTGAGATCTCGCCGCCCCTGCGGGGCTGCGAATTGCGAAACTGTCGCCACGTTCGTGTGCTCCTGGAGTGTTCAGCGTAGTGCGGGCCTCGCGGACCTGACTGAGACTCTCGTTAGATCCTGAAGGGTCAGCGTAGAGTTTGGGCCTACAGTCGGGGCCCTGAAGAAGGAACCCTTTTCGTTGGGGAGGGGCTCCGCGTTCCTTAAGTGTTTCAGAGCTTGCCTCAGGTTTTCCTTATGTTTTCAACAGGAAATCGAAGTTTAACCCATGGAAAAAGGGGGCCTCGTTCCTTATTTAGGGTTCCTTAGGTCAACGCCCCGACTGTATGCGGACCTGCCTCCCTCCATTCTATCCCCTTCGTTTTCTTCAGGCTCCCGCGTCCCTCCCCTCGAGTACCTGGTGCCTCTTCTCTCCTCTTCTCCCTCCCCACCCTCCTCCTCCTCCCTCCTTCCTCTCCTGCTCCTCCTCTCTTTTCTCCTCCTCCCTTCTCTTCCCTCTCCTTCTCCTCCCTCTGTCTCGCTCCTTCCCTCTCCTGCTCTTCCTCTCCTTCTCCTCCCTCTGTTTCGGCGCCTCAGCCAGCGCGTAAGTTTCTAAGGTGGCTCCCCATTTCTCCTTCTCCTCCTCCTCCTCCTCCTCCTCCTCCTCCTCCTCCTTCTCTTCCTTGTCTTCCCCCCTTTTTCCCCCCTCTCTTCCCGCCGCCCCCATCCCCGCAGCTGCCGTGCCAGCTGCACCAGCTGTCGCCGCTACGGGGCGGCCGGTGCCGGCGCACCGCCGACACCACTGGAGAGGAGGAGGAGGAGGAGGAGGAGGAGGAGGAGGAGGAGGAAGAGGAGGAGGAGGAGGAGGAGGAGGAGGAGGAGGAGCGGGAGGAGGAGGAGGAGGAGGAGGAGGAGGAGGAGGAGGAGGAGGAGGAGGAGAAGGGGCAGCGTGGGGCTGGGATGCCTGTCTGGAGAGATGTTCTACCCCCTCACGCTGGTGGCCTCGCTGCTTGCACGCAGCTGCATGTGCCTCTCCGTCACTCCCGCGCGGACCTGCACGGTCTGAGCGGGCCCCGTCCTCTTCTCTTCTCGACATCTTCATTCGCTTTCGGTGCATCCCATCACTCGTTTTGACTGGCGCCTGACCGTCTCGCACACCCATGCGCCTTTCGACTCGAACATCGTCTGGGGAGATTGGGCAGATTTGAAGTTTTTTGGGGACGTTGTCGTCGACTTCTGGGAGCTGTCCAGCCTCGGGATGCTTTCCAACAGCTGCACCTCGCCGAGAGGTGTCAAGGGTCCCAGATCGTCCCGAACGGCCGCCGGAGAGCCGAGTGATGGCCCGAAAACAGCGGGGCAACTCAGTCGCGCATTGATTGCCGGTAGGGGGCCAATGGCCCGCCCCCGCCCAAGAAAGTGCGGATTTGGTATCGGGGGCTTATCCCCGATCTATCGGCGATGTATCGCCGATGCCAGCTCGATGCTTCCACTACGCGCCGGCCCCCCATTGACGTTCCGCTCAGAGGAGGAGGTTCAGGGGCAATGTCGGGACAACGTTGGTCGGCGGCGCGCCGATGGGGGAGGTGAGAGGAGGCAGGCTGGTTCAGAAGGAGGCGCACCTGCTGAGAAGGAAGGCCTCATGTGGCTTCGGGAAAGGCTTGGTTTTTGTTCCTCAGACTGCCGGAGGCTTCCCGAGCCTGCAGAGAAGGACCGCCCGCTTGCCTCCCCCCTGGGCGCGCCGCCGAGTTAGGGGGGGCTTTTCCGCGTTCGTGGTTGAAGTTTTTGGTGGCGTTTTCGCTTGTCCTCGTCGGCTTTCCGGCTTCGGGGTGCCCTCCAGCAGCAGCGCCTCGCCCATTGGCGTCCGAGGCTTCCCGGGTCGCTCCGAACTGCCAAGGGACACCGACAGGATGGGGATCGGCTCAGGTGGGGACGCATCGACCCCCCAATCGCCCGTTCACCGTCGACAAAGGCCCGTCCAGGAGCATGCTGTTTCGCTATCGTTTTTTTCTCGCCGATTCCAGGTTGTTGCATCCCCCCGGAACGTGTAGGCCTGAACCTTGATGTCCCGCAGAGGAGGAGATCAGGAAAAGGGAGGAGCATGGAAGACCGATACCGTTGAATGTTTTGATTCTCGATGCCCTTCGTCTTGTTTTTCTTCCCCCTGTTCCTGTTATCCCTTTTTCCGTTCCCGCTCGTGCCCCCCTGATTGAAGAACCACATGCTTCACGCCTGAACTTGAATGATAGTTGTTCAAAAAGACTTGGCGGTAGAAACATACGATCTTCCCGTTGGATAAGTCCACATGTTAGTACTACATTGGAGGAAGCCTAAACGGTAGCCCCATTTTGCAGAGGAGCCGCCCCCTGTCCGTGCAGTTGATACGTAGGTTCAACTGTTTAGCCAGTAGCATTGGTTCAGGCCCAGGCGAGAGCCACATATTGAAAAGGAGACGTCTTATACTATGTCAGTCACCAGCTTTGAAGACGAATGCGCGCGGCGCCAGGGCGAGAATACCATCTGACCGCAGGTGCCCTTCATCGCGGTGGCAGTTGCACCATGTTGAGACGACTGTGCGCGGCGCCGGGGCGCTAGCCTGACTTTGAAAGGAGTTGCCCTGTTGATCCTCGTAGTTGCCCCAGGCTTTTGGGACGAACGTGCACATCGAGCACGCGAGAGCCCCATCTGGGAAGCGATGTGGTTTCCATCTTGGTAGTCCGTGCAGCTCCATATAATGGAGGATGACGATTAATTCATGACTGGGGGTCGTGATCACGCGGCGGCGCCCGGGATGACGATCAACAAAAACCGGCCGCGGGTTGGAACACTATTAAATCGTTCTCCCCCCGTCAGAAAATTGCAGACATAGCAGACAATTATTGTTTAAAATCGTTCTCTTTCATTTGTTTTATTCATCGTCATCCCGTATTATGAGACGATCCTCCATAAAGTCTTGGAGGTTCTGCGCATTTGAGACGAAGTTGTGTTGCGATAGGGCGAGGCCACCACTTGGACCCCTCCTCTCCCGTCGGTGTGACCGCTACAGGCTGTCAGGACGTACTTGCGCGGCTTGAAGGCGACGCCCCAGTTTGAACCCCCCCCTCCTGCACCCTTGTCACTGTTGCAAGCTCAGGCCGAATGTGCGAGGCGCTTACGCTGGAGCTCCATGTTGAGCATCACCCCCTTCTATCCATTTCGGGTGCTTATGCGAATGGTAAGCTTCACGATCCAGAGGGGAACACGGGGGAAACACCCTGCCGGCCGTACCGACACGTGCGGGGGTGTTTCAGGCAGGAGTTTTTTTTGTTTTATGAGACATAGGGATGGTTGGAGAAGGGAAGATGGGATGGCAGCGGTGGAGACGGACGGATAGTCGAGGAGATGAGAGGGATGGAGGAGGATGGAGGGAGAGGGCAATCTAGGTGCGTTCCTGTCATATCTGAGGTCCCACCCATACCTCCCAGCCCATACCATGGAAGAGATCTCTCTCCTCTCCCCTCTCTCTCTCTCTTTTCCTCCCTACTCGCGCAGGAGGATGCCGAGCAGGACGCTGGTCCCGAGAGGGTGCGGAGAAGGAGAAGAAAGAAGATGCAGGAAAGAAGATGCAGGGTGCGGAGAAGAAGGTCCCGAGAGGGTGGGAAGGAGAAGGTGCAGGGGGTGGGGAAGAAGGATGAGGCAAGGGGGGGGGAAGCTGACCTCGAGGAGAAGGGAGGGGACTGGAGAGCACCGTGGATCGGGGGGAGGGACGGGGATGGGGAGGGCCGAGGCTCCCGCGCGGGGCCCGTCGGAATGGCGACGCTCTTGAGCTGGAGAGGCAGCTGGGGCTCGGAGACCTGCTGAGCGTGTCGTGAGAGTCCGAGCGGCTCCCCTTTGTGAGAGCCCCGCCCGTTGAGATGCACGGCCCGCGGGCGGTCTCCCTCCTTCCCCTGCCTCGTCCGTCCTCTCCCTGCTCCTCCTCCTCCTCCTCCTCCTCCTCCTCCTCCTCCTCGTCCTCCTCCTCCTTCTCCTCCTCCTCCTCCCCCCCTCCCCCCCTCCCCCTCCTTCTCCTCCTCCTCCTTCTCTGCCTCCTCCTCCTCCTCCTTGTCCGCCTCCTTCTCCTCCTCCTCCTCCTCCTCCTCATCCTACTTGTCATTGTCACCATCATCATCATCGTCAGCAGCATCATCATCATCACCACCATCATCATCATCATCACCACCGAACGAACCGATGGAGGAGGAGGAGACACGGAGTCATAACACCAAGCTGATCTTAGTCAAAGGTGCGCCGAAGAAGCCGGTCGGGGGCGCGTTTGGGCAGTTCATGATCGCTAAGTGGCAGGAGTCTCGTCAGCAGGGCAAAGCGCATCCAGCCAAGCCTTGGCAGAAGCTTCTCCGGGAGAAGTGGGACGCAGTGGGCGCCGCCGAAAGAACGCCCTACCAAGAGTTGTACGAGGAGTCATCGGAGAAGTACAATCTGCACGAACGAGATGGGCACGGAAAGAATGGGTACAATGCTCAACAGAAGTTCCTGTTCATATTGAACAGGACTTGCTGACCGCGCCGCCGTGGCCAGTGTCCATTTGAGACAGAAGGCCGCCTGCCCAACAGCAGCCGCTGTTGGTTTGGGACAACATTTGTTGTTGGGCATTGTACCAATTTTTTCCGTACCCATTTCGGGCGTCCAAATACAAGGAGGCCAAGGAGGCCTACGGCACACGAGAGGTTACGGCTTCTCCATACCGAGGCTGCGGCCTCCATCGCCACGGCCTACACGGCCTGACGGGCGCGCGCGGGCGCCCACGCGGCGCGCGCGCGAATCTGGCGTTCGCTTCGCTTCGCTCCACTTCCTCCTCTTCCTCCTCCTCCTCATCCTCCTTCTCCTCCTCCTCCTCCTCCTCCTCCTCCTCTTACTCCCCCTACTTCCCCCTTTTCCTCTTCCTCCATAGCATCACCATCATTATCATAATAATCACAATTCTAATCATCAGTATCATCATCACCACCATCATCATCGACAACAGCATCAGCATTAGCATTAGCATCAGCAACCGCGCCAGTATCGGCATCAGCATCATCGTCAGCATCCGCATCATCATAATCAGCATAGTTATCATCGCCCTCGTCCTCGTTGTCGTCGTCTTCCGCGTCGTCGTCGTCGTCGGTGTCGTCGCCATCATTACCAGCATTAGCATGAGCATCAGCATCATGGTCATACGCGGTACCACCATCATGCGACTGATCCTCATACTACCAATACTAATCAGCGTTATCCCAATCCTTATCATGAGTGCCCGTATCGCCGTCATCATTTTGCGACTCCTTCCGACAAGCCACACACGTGCATTTGTTCCTCCGCCAGCGCGGCAACACCTCCCGTCGCGGCCAAACAGTGCGCGCGAGGGACGCGTTCTCTCGAATGGCACCTAAAGCAGCGCACGCGCTTGTTTGGCGAATCACACGCGCACACACACAGACACAGACACACACACACACACACACATGTGTGTTGGCGTCGCTGCCCCGAGCGCAGCGGCAATGCGTGGCAGGGTCGGAGAGGCAGGCGGCCGCGCACGCGCGTCGAAAGACCGAGCCCTGCACGCGCTTTTGCTGTCGCAGCGCGGCAGGTGCGATACGCACGCGCGCTCGAGCTGGCCAGGAGCGGGCAAAGAGCCCTGCACACACGCACTCCTCCCGCCCCCCCTCCCTCTACCACTCCCCTCTTGCTCCTCCTCCTGTGCCTTCTTGTTCCTTCTCCGTCGCCCTCCTGTCTACGAGCAGGCACGTGCCCCTCATCCTGCTCGCTGCCTCCCGCCCTTCCCTCCCTCCCTCCCCACCCCTTCCCCCCCTCCCCGCCTGTCAGCGGGCAATGCCCCGCCCCCCATCGAGAGCCGGCGGGTCAAGGATGGGGCCCTGAGGGATGGGACCCCAGATCGTCGAGGATGAAGAACATAGCGGAGACATGGCCTTTTTTAAGGCCCCCGTCTTCGCAGTCGGTTCGTTTGGTACATCTGAAGAAAAGGCCCCTTGTGCCCAATGTTTCTGGCCCTCCAAACTTGGATCCCCACCCAGAGAATTAGAGGTACTGTTGACGCTTACCACGAAAGGACGAATGTCATCAAACAGAGTAAAAAACAACCTGGGACTCCTTTCTATCCGAAGGGCCCCCTCTAGAGGAACACGCGACTGCATCAGCCTAAACGTTTCGAGGGTGGCACGGATTTCCCGCATCGGCGCTGGACCCGCCTCCCTGGTGCACAGAGTGCGCAAGGAGGCCCCAGCGCCGATCCCAGAATCCGCGCAGACCTCCGAAATGATGTTTGTGCCGCCTGTTGTTCGTCGACCACAGCTCTGTGGTCGAGAACCTTTTGTCTCCTCCTGGGGACCCGTTTTTCAGGAGGAGGAGGAGTCGTCGTCGTTTCTTGACAGTCCTGGACCCCAGTGAGGGCCACCAGAGGCAGAACATCAGCAGACATTTCCCCTCGCGAACTCTCCACGACCCGGGGGCTCTGGAGCCCTCGGGGCCCCGTCTCTGGGCCGCCAGGTCGGCGGCGAGCCCCGGCGGGCGGTGAGGGGGGGCCAGGCCTTCCCGGAAGGCGGCGGGGCTCCTCGGAGGCCCTCGCGCTCTCCGAGGAGGCGCCTCCGCCCTCGGAGGAGGCTCAGAGTCGCTGGCCTAGAGGTTGACACCAACACCAATATCGGCGGTGTGCCTCCACCGAGGGAAGAGGATCCCAATCTCGGTGATGGTGGTAATATTCTGGCTTCCAAGGTGACCGACATATTACCACCAACACCGACATCTAGGATCATCTGACCCCCTGGAGGCAACCCCCTGTGTTGGTGTTGGTGCCAATTTCCGGGCCTCTAACAGAGCAGGTCTCCGGAGGCCGGGGGCCTTCGCAGCCTTCTGGGAAGGCCCGCCCCCTCTGCACCGCCCCCATCGGACTTCCTCCAGGCATCCCAGACGGGATCGGAGCAGACGGGGTCGGAGCATTACTCCGCCGCATCGCCGATGCGTCGGCGGTGCGGCTCCATGTGGAGCTTGCGCATCCACCATGCGTTGGCGGCGGTGCGTTGGCGCTGCGGCGCGATCCTCCGACCCCATCCGCTCGGACCCCATGTAGGAAGCCTCGCTCGGACACCCTGCTCGCCTCCAGGGTGCGCTGGACGTTCTGGGGTTCCAGGGTTGGGTTTCTCGTGGGAGGCTTCTTGTGGACCAGCCTCCACTGTACGGCAGGTCTGCGTCGTGTCGACTCGCCGCGACCCCGCCGCGGGCGTTCCAGGTTGATCACCGCCAGTGGCCCAGAACCGACCCACTGTGGAACGACCTGGCGATCGAAACGGCCCCCAATCGTTCCGGGTCGAACGACCCACGCGGTGTCAGAAACCCACGCTGGGGTCGCCACGACACGAACCCGCCGCACTTCCCCCCTCCCCTGTGTTATGATGTTCCAACCGACTTTAGCCTTGATCACCAGAATGAATTGCAGCACCAAGAAAAAAACTCAAACTCTAGGATTTTGACGTGTCGGGCTCTGGGGGACACCGTTTCGACACTCCTTCGACACTCTTTCGACACTTTCCTGGGTGCTCGAGATTATTTCTGGGATGCGGTCCTTAAGTAGGCTGGAAGCAACATAACCCCCGGGCTCGCCGCCGATAAGAGGCTGCGAGGGCCTCGCCCGCCCCGTGCCGCCGGAGCCCTGCCCGTCGAGGGGTTCCGCCGCGAGGCCCCGCGGGCTCGCCGGACGCGCGCCCCCGCCGCCGGCGTGCGACGCCGTGCTCCCCCCCTGCAGCTCTCGGGGGCAGCGCTAGGGGGTACAGACTCGTCTCCTCCTCCTCCTCCTCCTCCTCCTCCTCCTCCTCCTCCTCCTCCATACTACTCTCCCTCTTCCCCTGATGGCGTCCTGGGAGTAGCCGACCCCCCATCCGCGTCCTGCTTTTTTGCACACAGGATTCCCGGGAGTTGGGTTTTCGCCTGCATTTGTTTCAAAATGCTGCTCTCGCTGAGGCGCCGGCCTCATTTTCGGGCCCCGCTCGGTCCGAATCGTGCTCCCGCTGCAGCGCTGGCCTCATTTCCGTGCTTCCGCTCGTTCCGAATCGTGCTCCCGCTGCAGCGCTGGCCTCATTTCCGCGCTTCCGCCCGTTTCGACTCCCCGCTGCAGCGCTGGCGTCATTTCCCGTGCCATGCCACAGCACACGCGCACACACGCACACACACACACACCAACCACCACCACCACCACCACCACCACCACCACCACCACCACCAGCACCAGCACCAGCACCACCACCACACCACCAGCACCACCACCACCACCACACCACCAGCACCACCCACCACCACCACCACCACCACCACCACCACCACCCACCACCACCCACCACCACCACCACCACCACCACACAACCACGCACACACGCACGCACGCACGCACGTGCACCACCACCCACTACGCACGCGCGCGCGGAGCCACAGGTCCGCTACGACACGCGTCCGCGGATAGAGAAAATCAGCGCCATGGTAAGGGATGGGAGGGAGGGGTAGGACGTCAGATATGACGCGAGCGCACCTAGCTTGTCCTCCACCCCTCCCCCCCTCCCCCTCTTCCTCCTCCTCCTCCTCATCCTCCTCCTCCTCCACATCCACCTACCGACCTCTGGCGTTCGACTTTCCACTTCCACCTTCACCTATCGACCTTCAGCGTCCATCAGCTCAACATCACGACCTCCAACCTCTAGCATGCGATTGTTCACTTCCACCTCCACCGGTCGACCTCCAGATCCACCAGCTCAGCACCCCGACCTCCAACCCCTAGCATCCGACTCTCCATTTCCAGCTCCACCGATCGACCTGCAACGTTCACCAGCTCAACATTACGACCTCCAACCTCCAGCATGCGACTTTCCGCTTCCACCTCCACCGATCGACCTCCCTACCTCCACCAGTTCAGCATTCCAACCTCCAACCTCCAGCATATGATTTTCCACTTCCCCCTTCCACTAATCGATCTCCAGCGTCCACCAGGTCAGCACTCCGACATACAATCTCTAGCATTCGACTCTCCACCTCCACTTCCACCTATCGACCTCTAACGATTTTCAGCCCATCATCAAGACCTCCAACTTCCAGCATCCGACTCTCCACTTCCAGCTTGACCAATCGACCTCCAGCGTCCACCAGCTCAGCACTCCGACCACCAACGTCTAGCATCCGACTTTCGATCCACCCCCACCTATCCACCTCCAGCGTCCAACAGCCCCGCATTCCGACCTCCAGCGTCTAGCATCCGACTCTCCATTCCCACCTCTATTCATCGACTTCCGACGCCCACCAAATCAGCATTCCAACAACCAACCTTTAGCATCCGACTCTCGACTTCTGCCTCCACCAATCGACCTCCATCCTCCACCAGCACAACATCCCGACCCCCAAATCTCTAGCATCCGACTTCCTGTTTCCACCGCCAATCGATCTCCAGCTTATGGGCCTTCGGCTACGTGTGTATCTGCGCCCTGAGTGGTATCTGAAGGATGTGTCAAAGAGTTCGTGAGAACACGAGTGATCCTGCGCCCGTGTGCATTGGATTGGAGTTCCGAGGCGTTCAACTCGTTTGTGTTTGGCTTGGGCTTCGCGGTTACAGAAAGGACGATGGCATCCACGAGATTCCCCGACAGGTTCATGCTACAGGCACTACGACTTCAACGAAACTACGTCTCTACATCGGCTTACAACAGAGGAGTGGAAACAATTGGAACATCAACTCGTGAGGTACGCCTTATCCTGAGCAAGCCTCCGACGCGCGCCGCCTCTCCTGCGAGGCCATGGCTTCACCCGCCTCGCCCTCGAGGGGCCCAGGCGCATGCCCGCACAGGCGATCCGATCCGATCCGTTCCTTCTCCTCCTCCTCCTCCTCCTCCTCCTCCTCCTCCCCCTCCTCCTCCTCCTCCGTCTCCTCCTCCTCTCTCCTCCTCCTCCTCCTCTTCCTCCTCCTCCTCCTCCTCCTCCTTCCTCCTCCTCCTCCTCCACCACCTCCTCCTCCTCCTCCTCCTCCTCCTTCTCTCTCCTCCTTCCTCCTCCTCCTCCTCCTTCCCTCCTCCCCCTCTTCCTTCCTCCTCCTCCTCCTCCTCCTCCTCCTCCTCCTCCTCCTCCTCCTCATGAGGAGACAGACTCTTGACATCGCTCGGGCGTGTTCAGTTTTCGGGGGCGGACAGAACCCCAACCCTGACACGTCGATTTGTAAGTTTTCCGTTTCCGGTTCTCGAGAGGGCGCCGCGGCCGTCATGTTCCATGTTTGTGCCAGCCAGGTTTGGGCCCGAGGTTGTTTTCACTAAACAAAATCCCCGAGACAGACTCTTGGCGTCGCTCGGACGTGTGCATGTCTTTTTCTTGGCGAGGATTCTCGTGGACTCGCGGAGCATCCCTGGGTCCTTGGGCAACGAACAAATGCACGAACGGCAACGAAACATGCGCGGGCAATGGTCGTCCGAGCGGCGGCGAGACGGGGGGGACAGCTCGGGTGGGGCCACGAGCAGCGAACAGATCCGTATCCCCAGACACGACGGCGCCGTGCAAGAGCTCACGGCGGCCACGTGGCTCAGACCTCCGGCCTTTTGGGGTCCTCGCCGGGCCCTGGGACCCTGAAGAGGTGGCTCCGGATGAACGGCGGGTCCCGGGGAGAACGGGCCGGGACGCACGGGGGGGCCCGCGCATGACAAACGCAGGACGTCGCACGTCTGGGCCCCGGGGCCCTCGGGGGCCGGATGGTCCGGGGGCGCGCGGCCGCGGACCCAGCGCGTGCGCGGTGGCAGGGGCAGGTGGGGTGCGGGGCGGCCGCGGAGCAGAAGCGCCCCCGCGTGGTGGCCCTGGGGTCGCGGGGCCCCGCCCGGGAGGCCGCGGGTGCTCAGATGCGCGTGCGCGCCCGGGGTCGGCGGCGAGCCCCGGGGGAGAATGCGAGGAGGGGCGGGCCTTCTCGGGAGGCTCGGAAGCCCCCCAGAGCCTACCGAGAAGAGCTCAGAGCCTCCCCCGAAGACGCAGAGCAATTCCCAGGTGGTCGCCTGGCGCCCCCCGAGTCCGCGCACCAAAGTTCACCCTTGCCTAGGGTTAAGTCGGGCCTGCCCCTTCTCTACAGGAGGCATATTCAAACATAGTAATCAATAGTCTGGGGACGATTCTGTTTTACGATGTTTTTGTTTTTGTTGTTTGCATATGTTTGATTCTTTATTTTTCGTCCAAAGTCCCCCCTGTAGGAAGACAGGCCCGACCTAAGCCCAGGGTCACTCCTACCTGTGTAGCCGGCTCGAGCCGGTTCCGTCCTGTCGCTGCCCCTCAGGCTCGATCGAGCACAGCGCTGTTTTTTTAGCGGGCCCTCGCTCGGGCGGGGCGCCTGCCTCGTTGGCCGCGCGGACAGAAGAGCCCTCGCCCCTCACGTCTCCCCTTCCCGGATTTGGGGCGCACTGCTTTTTTGTCGTTCCTCCCACTCCCTCGGTATCGTTTAATCGATCCCCATTCCCATTCCCTTCGAGACACACCAAATTACCACTCCAGTTGGGGATACACCCCTCGAGACCTGAAGAGAACGACCCATATCCCCATCCAGGGGGGTAAATCGGCCAGTGGGGCCCTGGCCACGCCGCTGGGGATGGGGATCGGTTAAACGATACTCACTCCCCTCCCCTTCCCAGCGTCGTTCCTCCGCTGAGGTCCTGGGGCCCAAATACCAGGCTCTGGGACCATGCAAACATGGATGTGGCACGGATCATTTCGGGGACAGGATCATGGCATCATGACCTTGGAACCGTGCTCGCATTCGCCGCCGCGCACAGCATAGGGGCCTTCTTCTGGGTAGGTTCATGAGCGTAAGACGTTCAACAGCATCAGATGAGTACATGTCTCGGGCGAATGCCCACGTACCTTAGTTTGTACATGCTTGCAGGTACGGCTCCCAACACTGTCTGAAACAAAAGCTGATCCCTCCCCTTCCGTTCTCCTTGCCGCTGCTACCCTTGCTGCTTACGGACGGCGTTGTTCGCGGCGAAGTTCGCCTCCTGATGTTCTTTTTGCTCCTGCTTCTGCTCACGCGGCTCTCCTCGTCGCCCCTCCACTCTCGATGTCCTGCTCAAGCTCCTGTTGGCTCTGCTCCCGCTACTCCGCGGCTGCCTCCGCTCTTGCAGTTGCCGCCTTTGGGACCTTCCGCCACCCACCGCCCGACACACCACCCGCAAGAGCCATGTCGTTGCTGCAACTCCCGCTGGGCGCCGCGCAGCCAAAGACCGTCATGGGCACCGCTCGGCTGGCGGTGCCGGGGATCACCCCGGCCTCGGCCTACTCTCCCAGCCTGAGCCCCACGTCTCCGCTGCCGCGCTCCCCTGTGGCGGTCTCGCCGTCGCCTCGCTCTCCGGCGGCGGTCGCGGCATTCAGCGCAGGCACAGTGATCCGCCAGATGCCGTCCAACGCGCCGGTGCACGGCCAGAGCTCCCCGCCACTGCAGTCGCAGGGCCCCTGGGTCGTGCCCTCGGCGGCCGTGGATCCTCACGCGCGCGAGCTGTGGGGCCGCATCGACGCGGAGGGGAAGGGCGCCGTCTCGTCGGCAGAGTTCCGGGCCGCCGTGGCGCGCGATGCGGAGGTGGCCGCTCACGCCGCCCGCTGTGGCGCTGACAGGGCCTTCGAGGCCATGGCCGAGGGCAAGGAGCAGGCTGACTTTGCCGACTTCGAGGCGCAGCACCGCCTCGCGGCCGCCATAGACCGAATGCCGCCATCGGACGCGCCGCGCTCTTCCAAGCGAGTCTTCATCATCAGCTCTGGCTTCGGGCGGCTGCTGCGGCCCGCTCAGACGCAGCTGGTGGAGAGGGCGGGCTTCAAGATCCACTGGTGCACGAAGCCACCGAACCCCGAGACGCCCAACTTCGCGTTCGGCCCGCACCTGCAGCAGATCAAAGGCGAGCTCGACGAGTTCAAGCCCGACCTGGTCATGTGCGCCTCGAAGGGCGGGGTGTACGTTGTCAAACTTTGGGACGCAGGGCTGTGGCTAGGGCCTACGCTGATGATCAACGCTCACCCTTCGTGCCAACGACTGCCCCGTGGCGTGCCCCTGGTGATCGCGGCCGGCGGCGACGACGAGCACTACCCCTCGACGAGGAAGATTTTGTCCCAGCTCATGTCCACTGGCACGAGGAGCCACTGCTTTCTCTACTACGCCGCCGGCAGTGGCACGCGCCTCCCGCCGGGCTTCGCGCTGCGTCTCGGCGACCGACACAACATGGACTCGCTGCTATCGAACGACTGCCTTCCCCGCCTCATGGACGCCGCGCTCTGCCCACAGGGGGCAGAGGTGCACATGGCGCGCACCCACGTGGGCCTCGTCTCGGACAGCCGCCTGGAGGCGGAGCGACCCCTGCGGGAGCAGCTGCTGCAGCGGCTGGCTGCCTGCAGCGGCTGGCTGCAGCGGCTCACTGGCCTCGACTCGGGCGTGCCGCTCTCGCCCGTGGAGCCTGGCAGCGATGAGTTCGGCTGGGTCGCGGCCGCGTTCCGCTCGCCGCCGAAGGCCCCGTCCGCCTACCGGCTCCCGTCGCAGGTGCCCTTCGAGAGCGTGCGCATCGCTGCCCTCCACCGCGTGCAGCACGGGCCCGACGCCGGCGCGGCGGCGCTGAGCCGCTTCGCCGAGCTGAGGATCGGCGGCGAGCGCGGGGGGGAAGGGAGACGGAGAGGGCCGCCTCGGAGGGCGGCGGGGCCTCCTCGGAAGGCCTCCTGCCCTCTGAGCAGTGTTCTCTGTGGCTTCGGGGGGGGCTCAGAACGCCGAGGGAACGGGGGACTTCCGAGCCTAGGAGGAGGAGGAGGAGGAGGAGGAGGAGGAGGAGGAGGAGGAGGAGGAGGAGGAGGAGGATCCGCCCCTTCTCTCAGCACGAACGAAACGGGTACGGAAAGAATGGGCACAGTGCCCAACAGCAGTTCCTGTTCATTCTGAACAGGACTCGCTGTCCGCGCCGCCGCGGCCTGAATCCATTTGAGACAGAAGGCCGCCTGCCCAGCAGCGGCCGCTGTTGGTTTAGGACAAAATCTGTTGTTGGGCATGTATCCATTTCTTCCGTACCCATTCCGGGCGTCCACATTCTCGCGTGTGGGGGTGCTGTTTTACTCGCCTAGACCAAGGGGAGGGTCCAGAATCGAGGGTGGATGTTTTTGGGGGATCTTGGGGCTTCAGGGATGCCAGAGGGCCCCCGAGGGCTTCCAGACTCCTGTACGCTCCTGCCAGGCCGTGCAAGCGGGTCAACGGTTGTCATACGTCCGCCTATACGCTGCCGGGAAAGGACGACCCACACGGCTTCTCGAAACGCCGGAAAGTCGTTAAGATGAGCCCCAGGCAGGCAACATGAGCCCCCAAAAGCATTCGTATGCCCATTGTTCTTCTTTCCCGTACCATCAAGTTCTAGATGATTTCGAAAGGTCGTCGAATGAGCCGTAGCGAGCCCAGTATGGCCCCGAGAGCCTATCAAGAAAGTCCCCCCCCCTCCGGGCTGACCGCCGAGAGGAGCTCCCTGGAGCGGCAGGGCGTGCCGTTCGAGGCGGAGGCCCACGAGCGCTGGGCCTTCTACCACGGCTGCGGCGCGCAGGGCCTGAGCGGCGGGCTGCAGCCCCTCGCCGCGGGCCCGTGGGGCGCGGGCATCTACTTCGCGCGCGACGCGAAGTACGTGGTGGACGCCGGGTCGTGCCGGGGCGCCGACGGCTCCAGGACGCCGAAGCGTCACCCGGATGACGCTTCGCCGGAGGGACCTCTTGAGTGCGGGCTGGCCGGGGTCCCTCTCCGAGCGCTGCGCGCGAGGCGACAGCGGCTGCCTGCGCGCTCGGATTTGGCCACACTTCCCCCCCTCCCCCTGAGCCTCGCACCAAAGGTCACTCCTGCCCAGGGCCACTCTTGCGGGCATGGTGGGGGGCGTTGGGGCGTTGGTTCAGGAATGCGCCCAGGAGACGGCTGACCCTGCAGGATTCCTTGCCTGATGAGGGCGGCGGCGACATCCATGGCAGAGCCTCAATTGGCGTTTCACCGGCTCCCAGACCCTGGATTCCTTATCCAATGGTTCCTTATCCAATGCCCTCACCGTAGTCGATAGGACGGTGCTCATGTGCCTGTTGGCCTCGGGCATGCCGTGCGTGGGCGATGCGGCGCGCGGGGGCGAGTTGCCGCGGCGGAGAGGCGCCGCGTGCTACGACTGCGCGGTGGACAGCCTCTCGAGCCCCGAGCTCTACGTGGTACCTCGCGCCAGCTCGGCCGTGCCGGCGTATCTGATCACCCTCGCCTAGGATAGGGGAACGAACAATGACATAAACATCAAAGTCGGAGGCCCGCGCGGATTTCTCATATCGGCGATCGACCCCCCTCCCTGGCGCGCGGAGCGCGCCAAGGGCGGCGCCGAAGGCGCCGCCAGGGGGCCCCAGCGCCGATCCGAGAAATCCGCGAGGACCTCTGAGTTGTTATGTTTATGTATTGTTCGTTACCCTGTAGGAGATCGCTCGCCATGAAGGAAACGGGCCCCGAGAGAAGCTTGGAAGTTGTTCCCAGACGAGCATCCCGTGGCCCAGAATTGGCAGGGTGGCGGCGGAGCGCGAAAAGCTGGCAGCGTGTGAGCGCTGCGGGCAATGTTTACTTCCAAATCCAGTGCGTCTTGGACTCTTGGAAAGGGCACCTCAAGGCCGAGGCGCACTGGATATGGATAAAGATCGAGCCTCCAAGAGGGCATAGTTTTATCAATATCCAGTACGCATATGGCTTCTGGGGAAGGGAGCCCTAAACTTCAAGCTGCAGTGGATATGGACAGAAGTTTTGCCCGCAAGCGCGAGTGCGGCCCACAAGCGTCGGGCGCACGAGTTGCTAGATCGGGCCACCTGGCTTGGAGGCTTGCCAGCGTTGCGCCAGCCCCGACGATCCAACGAGGCCGTCGGGGAGGCGAGTGCTCACAAGCAGCACTTCCAACTGGATTCACGAGGAATCGTCAAAGTGGAGCCGAGCTCGCCGATGCAGCCAGTCCATGCCAGCCAGGTGCAGCATGATTCTGGCTTGGCTCCCCTGCTCGTCCAGCTCTCGACCAGTGACATGTGAGCGGTCATCCCGCGCAGGCAAAAAGGGCTACGCACGGTAGATCTTCAGGAAGGGAAAAAACACACAGACACAATTAATCGTCGATTCCCACAAAATATGGGAATATATGGGAAGTGGGGGGGAAGACAGAAACCCTAAAAATATGGGAAAATATGGGGAATCCTTTTATTTGTGTATTTCTTTGTGTGTCCTTGGCTCCCTTGAGATCTGTCGGTGTCGCATGCGACGTCGCAGTGTCGGCAGAGGCGTGGGGCAGAGTGCCAGTCGATGATGTAGACTCGAAGCAGAAACACAAAACGCGATAACCATGAACTCCTGACGCTCCGCGCGGATTTCTTGGATCCGCGCTGGGCCCCCCCCGGCGGCGCTTCCGGCGCCGCCTCTTGCGCGCTCCGCGCGCCAGGGCAGGGGGTCTGGCGCGGATCCAAGACATCCGCATGGAGCGACAACATTTATTCCCTATCCAGGCTCTGCCTAGAAGGGTTCTTACTCTCTTAGCTTAAAGGGGCCAGGCAGTGTAATGCGTCCCGGGCGGTTCCCCCAGGATCCGCCCCGCGGTTCCCCCAGTTGCGTCCCCTTAGCTTAGCGTTGCTTATCTCATCTTAGCTTAGCTTATTACATCTTAGCTTAGCTTAACTTCATCTTAGTTCAGGTGTTTCTTATCTGAGCTTACCTTCGTCCTAGCTTCGCTGAGCTTTAGCATAGCAGAGCACAGCAGAGCATAGCATAGCGTAGCATAGCATAGCGCAGCACAGCATATCATAGCATAGCCCAGCATAGCATAGCATAGCGCAGCAAACCATAGCATAGCATAGCACAGCAGAGCATAGCATAACATAGCGCAGCACAGCACAGCATAGCACAGCGCAGCATGGCATAGCATAGCATAGCATATCAGAACATAGCTTAGCATCGCACAGCGCAGCATGACATAGCATAGCTTAGCATAGCATCGCATAACATAGCATAGCATATCATAGCATAGCATAGCATATCATAGTGCAGCATAGCATAGCATGGTATAGCATAGCACAGCATAGCGCAGCATAGCATGGCATAGCATAGCCTGGCATATCATAGCAACTAATACTGTTTTCCTAGGGGCTCCAACTTTTAGGTAGGGTCGCACAGGGGTAATGTTTATGTGGTGTTCTTTTCTTCTAAGGGTTCCAATCGATGACGTAGACATGACTTCTGGAGGGCCGGCGCGGCTTTTTCCCGGCGTCACCCAAACACACTTGTACTATGTGCGCGTTGGCCCCCGCCCCCAGGGGCGACGCGGGCACCGAGAACTCTTCTAGTATCTGCGCCGTGGCGGGCGCTTTCCGGCCACATCGCCCGGGAAACGATCTATACTACAAGATGGTCATACGATATGTTCGGGTCGGACGCGCGCCTCCAAGACGGACACATACAGTCGGGGCCCTGAAGAAGGAACCCTTTTGGTTGGGGAGGGGCTCCGCGTTTCTTCAGTGTTTCACAGCTTGCCTCAGGTTGTCCTTATTTGTTCGATCGGAAATCGAAGATTGACTTATTGAAAAAAGGGGCCTCGTTCCTTATTTAGGGTTCCTTAGGTCAACGCCTCGACTGTAGTATTAGTATGTCTCTGTGCGTCCCGTTTTCGGCGCTGCTCCTCCCTGCGCCACTCCCCGTCCCTGGAGCGCGTGGGCGGCGGGCTGGCACGGGCGCCCCCCGCAGCGGGCGTCCCTGCAGCGACTCTCCCGAGCCCTCGCGGCCTCGGCAAGGCAGCCCAGACGCTCCCGCATGCTTTACAGCTGAGCGGCGGAAGAAAAAGCAGGGGAGGCAAAAGGTACCCATACCTCTTCCCTTCGGCCGTTTCCCTCTTTTTGGGCCTCCCGGGAGGCCCTCGTCGCCACCGCTGCATTCGCCTCGGAATTTTGGTCAGAGCGCACCCCTGGAGAGGTCTGGAGGGTAGCGGTATCCGTGCATTTTGGTGTTCCCAGACAGGTTCGTCTTCGCCGACAATCGCGCACACGCTGCCCGCGTAAGGTTGCGCGTAAGCGCCCCCGTTTCCAATCAGGGGTGCCGCGCTGGCGGCCCGCGCACGCTGAGGCGTAAGGTCGCTATGCCATCATGCGTAAGACCTTCTTATTTTCGTCGCTCAGTTGGGCCTATCATCGGTTCTAGCATCGTCCGTTGAGGACGCGAGGCGAGGTACTGCGGACCACCCAGCAGCATTGGGGCTTGGCGGCCGCGGCATGCGGGAAAGGTCATGCCGTCTATGTTCGAGGGTAGGAACCACTGTCGGCCCACCGGGGACACTGGAACTCTGGCGGCCGCGGCATGCGTGCCGTGCCAACCGGTCGGCAGTTGTTCCCTCCAACCCTGACAGCCCCCACTCGCTGGCTGGGGACAAGGCCCTCCCCCCCAGACCCCCGACGTCATGATTTTTTCATGACGCGACCCCCACAGGTCCAGACACATTCCCTGGGACCGTTTTTCATCCTGAGTTGTTTTTTGACGGTCCTGAGGGCCAGTAAGGGCCCCCGGAGGCCGAAAATAGCGAAAAACCTCCCGTCGTGATTTTTTCATGACTCGAGGGGGTCTGGGCCCAGAGGACTTCTCCGAAGCCCTGATCCTGTAACCTCTCGGGTCGAAAGGGAGGGGGAGAAGTTGGGCAATGGGGGGCCCACGACAGCTGCAGCTGGTGTCGGCCCCACCTGCGGGCTCACCTTGCGATGCATGGGCGCCGGGAGGCGCCGGGAAGCCCGAACCGGGCGAGCCGACTCGTTGACCCCCGAGTGTCTCGGCTAGTGATATGCGTAAGGCTGACCCTTTGCCGGTGTGAACCTTGGTGCGGGCCCATTGGGGTCCCCCGATGGTCGCACGCGGTGCGCTAGCAGCGTCTTGCGCGCTGGTCTTTGGCCCCCCCCCCCGCGGCGCCCAAGAAGCCGCGCGCCAGGGGCCATTCCTGCCCAGGTTCACTCTTGCGTGTGGCCGACTCTCCCATGCCCTCGGTCCGACCCGAGCCTATATCCTCGCCCAGCTCCGAACATTGCCCGCTCTCGAGCCCGTATGCCTGAGTCGGGCATGTCCCTATGCAGGAGTAGTATTCAAGAACAGTAGAACACATAGTCTGGTTACAATTTGTCGTGCTCTTTTTTGTTGGTCATGTTTGATTATGTTGACTGTCTCTCATTTTTCGGCCTCGCTGGCGAGAGTGGGGGCTGCAGAGGAGGTCATTCCTTTGAGGCCCCCCTGGAACTCCCAGTGGAAGATGGGTGCCCCCTTGTTTCTATTATATATCTCACACATAGATATCTATACGTGTGTATATACATATATATATATGTATGTACACACATATATATATATATCAAAATATGTTAATTATGCATCTATACATGTATATGTATAGACCAGAATAAGAAAACAATGCATAATAAAATTTCCAACATCTGCCTGTAGGAGGACACCCCCGACCCAGCTGCCTGCCTCTCCCGCTGCCGCGGGCGACCGCCCCCGGCCGCGGACGCGCGCAGCCTGTGCGGGGCGGTGGCCACCCCCCCCTGCGGCCCCGGCCCGCCCCCCCCCCCCCCCCGGGAGCTCCCCGGGGCCCCGGCACACGGGGCGCTGTCACGAATCGTCGATCGGCACGAACGACATGGGTACGGAAAGAATGGGTACAATGTCCAACAGCAGTTCCTGTTCATTTCGAACAGGACTCGCTGTCGGTGTCGCCGCGGCCTGTGTCCATTTGAGACAGAAGGCCGCCTGGCCAACAGTGGCCGCTATTGGTTTGGGCGTCCAAAGTCGAGGCCAAAAGCACGAGGACCATTCTCGAAGAAAAAGAAGAAGAAACAAACAAACAAAAACACACAAGCAGAAACTTTTGGCGCCCCGCGCGGGTTTCTCGGATCCGCGCTGGGAGCCCCCTGGCGGCGCCCCCGGCGCCGCCCCTGGCGCGCTCCGCGCGCTAGGGAGGGGGGGCCCAGCGCGGATCCGAGAAATCCGCGCGGAGCGCTAAAAGTTGTTGTTCATGTTTTTTGTTGCGGATCCAAACGTTATCCTTGGGTTTCGATGGTTCCCACACGGTCTCAGGGTTGGGTGTCTTGTGGAAGAATTGAGTTGTTGTGGTCGAGCTCCAGCTGTACACGTGGGAGTTACCCTTCGCCAGAGCGGCCTTTGGTGCGGGCTCACCAGGCGCCCCCCCCGATCGCTGACGGCGCTGCGATTTTGGCTGCTTGCGCGCTTGGGCCCCCTGGTGCCGCGCACCAAAGGTCACTCTTTCCTGGGGTCGCTCATGTGTGTAGCCGACATTACTAATTTGTCGCGGGGGGGCTTGACGACGCCGATCTTGGCCATGGTTCATGCCCGCCGCCGCCGAATCACGAGGATGATCGGCGCGTTGACGAGGGCCGAGATAGACGGTGACCAGGATCGACACCGACGTTTGGGTGTGAAGTCCTCGTCGTGGCCATCGCTTGCTCCCCCTCCGAGCCAGGACGTGGAAGTTTCCAGTTGGAGGGAGCGAAGCGCGGAGAACGCTGTGAGCCGGAGCTGTAGCCGGCTCGGGCGCGACAGCGTTCTGGTTTGCGGCAGGCTTGTGCCGTGGCCACGCGGCTGCAACCGCAGGGCGGGCGTTCCAGGTTGAGCGCCGCTGGTGACCCAGGGTCGCCCACTATGGGAGGATCTGGCGATCGAACAGCCGCCGATCGCTGAAGGTCGAACGGTCGCTACGGTGTCAGAGACCGACGCCAGGTTCGCCACGCCAAGAGACTTAGCGTCTCAGAGTCCCCGTCTGCGGGGCCCTGCGGGGCGCTCGCGGCGCTGCTGAGCGCGCGCCCGCGCGCGCGCGCCTGGGGGCGCCGAATGGGGGCGGCCTCTTGCGGCTGGGCAGCGCGGCCCAGGACGCCAGCGACGACGGCGGCGACGGCAGCGTCGACGATGACTTCGGCGAGGACGGAGCTCGCGTGCAGTTGGTACACCGTGCTCACTTCTGTACCCCTGGCATGTTCGCCCGCTCTTGCGCTGGCACGTGCGTGCATGTGCACGGTATGTGCCCAGCATATGTCCAGCATATGCGAGCCTTTTTAGTTGGATGACCAATGTTACATCATCGCCCGGGCTTGTGCAGGTGCAGGATCACGTGCCTTGTGTGCCTGCACATGCAGAAGGCGTGCGAACAACGCAGATCGTTTAGTGGCACATGCACGGACATGCCTGGGCGACTTCCATGTGGATGACCGCGTGGGCCCGCACATTCATTGAAGCGTGCGTCCGCACATGCTCGCACATGTCGACGCACATGCCCGCACATGCCCTCGGAGTTGTCTGAGACCCTTACAAGTGCCTCCAATGCCTCGCGGCCTTCGCAGAGCTCCCCGAGGCCTGCCGAGATGTCCCACAGCTTCCCTCGGCCATGAAGGGTTCTGGTGCTGTATGTGCTGAGAGAATGCCCAGGCTTGCTTGGCTTGCCATTGCTGGCGGGGGCCGCCCTTCGCCCACTGGTCACGTGCATCATGTGCATGCGTGCGCTGCTGCGTCCCGATCTAAAAATGACAGTGAAGCACAAAAGAACGGAGGTGGCAATGAGCCCGGTACACGTTTTTGTGGCTGCGGGAGCCCCGGGAGGCTCATCGTCGCCACGGGTGCATGCACCTCCATGTTTCCCAACCCTCCTGCGTTGGGTTCTCGTTTTGAATAAAGCATTGCTCGCGCGAACCTTCCCACCCACCCCGTCCCTCTCTTCCCCCCGGCCTTCGCTCGTCGCTGCGTGCCAGCTGGGGGGGCTGCGATCTGTGAAACTGTCGCCACTTTCGAGGCCTGCTGGGGGGCCCAGCACAGTGGGTACCCACGGCGGATTCAAATTTGACCTCGCCATCCCTGGGGGGCTGCGATCTGTGAAACTGTCGCCACTTTCGAGGCCTGCTGGGGGGCCCAGCACAGTGGGACCCACGGCGGATTCAAATTTGACCTCGCCATCCCTGGGGGGCTGCGATCTGTGAAACTGTCGCCACTTTCGAGGCCTGCTGGGGGGCCCAGCACAGTGGGTACCCACGGCGGATTCAAATTTGACCTCGCCATCCCTGGGGGGCTGCGATCTGTGAAACTGTCGCCACTTTCGAGGCCTGCTGGGGGGCCCAGCACAGTGGGTACCCACGGCGGATTCAAATTGACCTCGCCATCCCTGGGGGGCTGCGATCTGTGAAACTGTCGCCACTTTCGAGGCCTGCTGGGGGGCCCAGCACAGTGGGCCACCGCGGATTCAAATTAGACCTCGCCATCCCTGGGGGGCTGCGATCTGTGAAACTGTCGCCACTTTCGAGGCCTGCTGGGGGGCCCAGCACAGTGGGTACCACCGCGGATTCAAATTGACCTCGCCATCCCTGGGGGGCTGCGATCTGTGAAACTGTCGCCACTTTCGAGGCCTGCTGGGGGGCCCAGCACAGTGGGTACCCACGGCGGATTCAAATTTGACCTCGCCATCCCTGGGGGGCTGCGATCTGTGAAACTGTCGCCACTTTCGAGGGCTGCTGGGGGGCCCAGCACAGTGGGTACCCACGGCGGATTCAAATTAGACCTCGCCATCCCTGGGGGGCTGCGATCTGTGAAACTGTCGCCACTTTCGAGGCCTGCTGGGGGGCCCAGCACAGTGGCCACACGCAGATTCAAATTAGACCTCGCCATCCCTGGGGGGCTGCGATCTGTGAAACTGTCGCCACTTTCGAGGCCTGCTGGGGGGCCCAGCACAGTGGGTACCCACGGCGGATTCAAATTGACCTCGCCATCCCTGGGGGGCTGCGATCTGTGAAACTGTCGCCACTTTCGAGGCCTGCTGGGGGGCCCAGCACAGTGGGTACACACCGGCGGACTGAAATTAGACCTCGCCATCCCTGGGGGGCTGCGATCTGTGAAACTGTCGCCACTTTCGAGGCCTGCTGGGGGGCCCAGCACAGTGGGTACACACCGCGGATTGAAATTAGACCTCGCCATCCCTGGGGGGCTGCGATCTGTGAAACTGTCGCCACTTTCGAGGCCTGCTGGGGGGCCCAGCACAGTGGGTACCCACCGCAGATCAAATTTGACCTCGCCATCCCTGGGGGGCTGCGATCTGTGAAACTGTCGCCACTTTCGAGGCCTGCTGGGGGGCCCAGCACAGTGGGTACACACGGCGGATTCAAATGAGACCTCGCCATCCTGGGGGGCTGCGATCTGTGAAACTGTCGCCACCTTCGAGGCCTGCTGGGGGGCCCAGCACAGTGGGCACACACCGCGGACTCAGATTTGAGCCTCGGCCACCTCGCCATCCCGGGGGGCTGCGATCTGTGAAGCTATCGCCACTTTCGAGGCCTGCTGGGGGGCCCAGCGCAGTGGGTACACACCGCGGACTGAAATTAGACCTCGCCATCCCTGGGGGGCTGCGATTTGTGAAACTGTCGCCACTTTCGAGGCCTGCTGGGGGGCCCAGCACAGTGGGTACACACGGCGGACTGTAATTAACCTCGCCATCCCTGGGGGGCTGCGATTTGTGAAACTGTCGCCACTTTCGAGGCCTGCTGGGGGGCCAGCACAGTGGGTACCCACCGCGGATTCAAATTGACCTCGCCATCCCTGGGGGGCTGCGATCTGTGAAACTGTCGCCACTTTCGAGGCCTGCTGGGGGGCCCAGCACAGTGGGTACCCACGGCGGATTCAAATTAGACCTCGCCATCCCTGGGGGGCTGCGATCTGTGAAACTGTCGCCACTTTCGAGGCCTGCTGGGGGGCCCAGCACAGGGGGTACCCACGGCGGATTCAAATTTGACCTCGCCATCCCTGGGGGGCTGCGATCTGTGAAACTGTCGCCACTTTCGAGGCCCGCTGGGGGGCCCAGCACAGTGGGTACCCACGGCGGGTTTAAATGGGACCTCGCCATCCCTGGGGGGCTGCGATCTGTGAATATGTCACCACTTTCGAGGCCTGCTGGGGGGCCCAGCGCAGTGGGTACGCACCGCGGACTCAAATTAGACCTCTCCATCCCTGGGGGGCTGCGATGTGTGAAGCTGTCGCCACTTTCGAGGCTTGTTGGGGGGCTCAACACAGTGGGAACCCACCGCAGACTCAAATTAGACCTCGCCATCCCTGGGGGGCTGCGATCTGTGGAACTGTCGCCACTTTCGAGGCCTGCTGGGGGGCCCAGCACAGTGGGTAGTCACCGCGGATTCAAACTAGTCCTCGCTGGGGGGCTGCGATCTGTGAATCTGTCGCCAGTTTCGAGGCCTGCTGGGGGGCCCAGCGCAGTGGGCTTCCCGCACGTTTTTCTCCTGCTCTTCGTTCCCGACTCCCCATGTCCTCTTCGAGCCTGTAGTTGTCGCCCCTCGTTCTTGTATGGTTCTCCTGCGCATCATGCCATACGCGCGTGTCCCAAGTAGCTTACATATCAAACAACGGATCCTGCAATTTGATTGTCCATGCAAGTTTCGGCCAACTCGTCGTTTCCCATGATACAAGTTGGTTGGGTACGTCACAGGGTAATTTTGTTGCGTGGTTGGACACGGCTGCGCTGCCGGACGCGTCGGGCGGGGTTGGCGGGACGGGGGCGACTTCGGAGCCACAGGGACGCCGATGCCGCCGGAGTCCTCGTTTCGGAGGTTGCTGGGCGTCTCTTTCCCAGCGCGGCCATGAAGGCAGGCCAGGAAAGAGACGTCGTGCCCCGTCAGGCGTTGCGTTTTCTGATTTCAAGGATTTGTCCCGGAAGCGCCTTCAGTGCATTATGGGTCCTTTGCTTACTTACATCAGATACAGTTGTACACACATATATACATATACACGTATATATATATATATATATATATATATATATATATATATATATCCTTGAGATTCTCATGGGTTTTATCTCGTCCCCCCTCCGTCCTCGAAACGATCTCCTCTAAACCGCCTCTCCGTAGCCGCCTCGGCTCAAGCTGCGGCAGGGTGTGCGCGGTGGAGGTGCTTCTATTAGCCCTGTCAGAGAAGCAAGCGGGGGTCCCCAGAATGACCCCCTCCGAGGAGCCCGCGCCCGAGTGAGCTCCCCCCTCGGCGGCTGGGGGAGCTCACCAGCCCGCGCCGCCGCGGCGGCAGCACGGCGGTGGCGATGTTCGGAGCCGCGGGGGCTGGCGCGGGCGCCCCGCCTGGCCCGCTTGGGTTGGGCCCTGGCGGGGGGCTCCTCGGCGTGGGCGGCGGCGGAGTGCTGGGCGGCTTTCTGGGACTGCCGCCTGGCGTCGGCGCCCTGCTCCCGCCGCCGCCTGCCGGAGTGGCCGCTGGAGCTGCCGCGGCCGCGGGCGGAGCCGCTGCAGGCCCCGCAGCACCAGGAGGCGGAGGCAAGGCAGCGGCGAAGCCCGGGATGGGCGGCAAGGGCGGCATGGGCGGCATGGGTGGCCCAATGGGCGGCATGGGCAAGCCGCCTGCCGCCCCGCCGCCCGCTGCAGGTCGCGGCAGAGGCGCTGGCGCTGGAGCAGGAGCGCCAGCAGCCCTGGGCGGCCCCGTGGTGCCGGGTCTGATCCCAGGGATCCCCGGGGTGGGAGCCCTCGTGGGACCACCCGCTCACGCTGGGGGTGGAGGCGGCCACGCCGTGGCAGGGCAGGCCGCCCACGCGGTGCCAGCCGCCGCCGCGCCTGTGCCCGTGGGCTGGCAGGCAGGCATGCCCGCGGCGGGCGGGGCGCTGCCGCAGTTCGGAGCAGCGTTCGCCCAGCCAGCGGTGGCGGGGGTCGCGGCGGCGGCGCAGCAGGCTGGACCCTGGGTATACGTGCCCATGGCGCCCCAGGCCGTGACCCACGGCCTCCTGGGACTGAGCGCCGGCTGCCGCGTCGAGCTGGTGATGTACGATGCTGCCTGTCAGCCAAGCGGGACGACGACGATGACCGTGACAGGGCTGTATCCGCCTGAC